TCTTATTACTGGTTTGATGAACTTTAAAAGTACTTCTCTGAACTCCAGTGGAATATTTAGGTAACAGTAGTAGGACCATTTTGCAGTGACTTACCTGAGTTCAGTGGCAGTTTAAGGGCTTTAACTGAACATTTTCCAATGCTTTAGTGAGTAAAATCTTGTTGGTGCCGTGTGGAAAACTATGGCTTTATGTTAGCATATAACTTTTAATTACTTGAAATAATTCTAAGAATTATTATACATGACAGTCTTCCTTTTGAAATCCAATGCTAGTTGGAGAAATAAGGTCTAATTAGTTTGTAATTCTAGGAACTTCTAGTTGATAAACTGTCTTATGATCTTAAATAATTTTTAAGTGTGAATGTTTGAGGCAGCATCACCAGTAAATTGCAATTGCCATGATATAAAAACTTCTCCAAACTTGTTCAGTTTGGAGAACTGGTAAGTTCTTCTCCAAACTGATAGAGCAGTTGAGAACAATTCTCTGATAGCTGGGCAAAGAACTTGGACAGAAAAGCCAAGTAGGTAAAAACCCCTGCCTGGCTGTGTTGCCCTCTGTCCTCTGTCTTTTCTTTCCCACCTTCTGAGTAAACAACTGTGTCACAAAATGGGGGTCGTGTTCACTATCGAAAAGCTCAGATGGTTCTTTCTCATGGGCAGTACTGAATTTTGAAGGCCGGCAGCTCTACCAGGTTTTGTTGCAGAATGAGACCAGCAGTTGTTTCACTTGACAGTCCAAAAGCTGGCTAGCTGACACTTGCCAAAATGAAGAGCCTGACTGTTCTGAACAAGTTTGGGAAGTCCATGTGATAAAACTGATACATCAATGGAAACGTTTCTGTTTGGCACAAACAGCAGCAGGTGCTCCGTTTCCAAGTGATACATGTATATGCTGTACTCCCTAGCATCACTGAAGCGGTTTCCCTTTGAAGATGTATCCGTGTGCTATTTTGGCATGTAGTTCCCATTGCATGGCCTTTAATAACTTCCTACACTCTATGAAAAGATGTTCAGAAAGATCTGACTGAAATCTAAATTCTGTTAGATACTTCCTTTGCATATTTTTGCAGAGTCCTTCTATCATTATTAAAGATTAGTGAATCTCCCACTTTAGTTTGAACTTCTTTCATTCACTTTCCACAAATATGTCACAAAAGAGAATTGAAAGCTTTTTTACTGTATTGCCCTTTGGAAGAATAAGTGACACTCTAATATGAAACTGAAGTTTAAGGTGAGGTTTTCAAAGTGGAAGCCCAGTATAAACAATTCTTCGCAGTCATCTTTCTGACATCCGTCTTCACTGCTGAAGCCAAACAGCCTACCCAGTTTGGATTGCTGTGCTCATGTCTGTAAGGAGGAGAGCAGTTCAGAACCTCACCTGATCATTTGGGGAATTTGTGTAATCAGTCGGAGTCCAGAAAACATTCCAACCGACCAAAGTTGTCCTTGTGCTTGAAAAGGGAACCTGCCTAAACACATTAGGATTGTCTTAACTTTGAATGCTAGTAAGTCTGTCTGCCTATTGGAATGATGCTTATTTGTTTGATGTTTGTACAGAGGATCAATATTGTTATTAACAGGTACAAAGCTTCAAGTAGACCAAAGAGGTGGCAGAGATTTAGAAATAAATTTTTATGCTAAATGAGTTAAAAATATTAACAATAACATGATATTTTGAAGTACCAGAAGTCAGTCTTAGTCCATGAAGATTTTAGCCAAGATTTCCCCAGGGTAATACAGCGTTTGCTATGGTCATCTCAGCTGTGTCAGTAAGGTACATTTTTAGTTTAGGTTTAGTCTTGTTGTAAGTTAAGGTTAAGTATAGTCTGGGTGTAGGCTACAGAAAGTGGGCCTGTGATTAGCAATGAGGAGGGTGGCATTTTTGGTCATCAACAAGGGTAAAATCCTGGTAATTATATTGTTTGAACTGTAGAGTGCTTTACAGCAACTTCAGTTCTTGAAGACACATTTGCCTTCTTACTTATGAATTTGCCTCATGTATCAGTTCACATCTCAGTAGAAGCTGATGCTTTAAATCTAATCTTTCTGTTTGCTGGATTTAAATAGTAGCATCTGGGCAGTGCATCTTAAAGAACAACACACAGGATAGATTAAATTACTTCTCTGTTTTTGGTCCTTTTTCCTTGCGTTTTTCTAGAGTAGTGTAGGGTGTAATATAACAAATATATGGGCAGTTTTATTTGAAGTGGAAAAATAGGCAATACACTTCAACCTGCGGTCGATAGTCTGTTACCTGTTTGCAGCATAAGCTGCCATAAAGCAATCCATTTCTGGATGAGTGCAGTATTATTTAATTTACTTACCTATCACAAGTAGCTAAAAAACCTCTCTACCATTAGTTCCATCCTTTATCTTTGACTGCCCCCCATAGTGCTCTTAACTCACTTAAATGCCTGGTCTGAAGGTAAGAGGTCTGACCATTCATCACCCACCCTTTTTCTGTTGGTGAAACTTGCTAATAAGTTTTTTCCTCTTATATATTTTATTTAACAAATTTCAATGAATGAAATATATTTAGGACCTCTACAGTTTTACAAAACTACCTGAAAATGTCCTACTATTTATGAAGTATTACTAGTGAAGTTTACACAATAAATAGTCTCTTTTTCCTTAGGAAATCAAACTTTGAAAGGTAATTTTAAAAGATTTGATTGTTCAAAGATTTCTGTGAGATCTTTCAAGGTCCTTGCCAAACAAAATCACTTGTCTATATAAGCAACTACTTTATGTTCTTAAAAATGTACTTTGTGTTTGATATCATACATGGATGTACTATTTTATACTGCTTTATCTAGCAAAATATTTTAGATTTTAGACAGCAAGTAATATTTTAGAATCAACATATGAAAAGTGTTGATTTTTCAGTAAATTTTTGCATATTGTTTTCCTTCTTGGAGACTAATGCTCCAGTTGGACATGGGTCTTGAAGCTGCATGTGTGCTTAGCTTTCTCCTGTATTAGATTACAGAACTGTGCTGGACATGTCTAGAAATCTGTGATAGACAGGTGCAAATTGCAAGTTAGCACTAAATTACATCACTGATTGTGCCTAGTCAGTGATATGAAATGTTCCAGGCTACTGAAAATGTATTCAGCTGAGATTTGCTAAAACTCAAAGGTAGGTTATATGAAGAAATTTGAAAATGTTAGTGGGAAATCTGCACAATTTTCTGGCTGATGAGTTGCATTTCTGCCTCTCCTATTAGGACAGGCACACTGCTTTGAGAAATGCTGTACAAACATACTTTGAAAAATTATTTGCATGGTTTGTGATCCTCCAAGGAAATACAGAACAAAAGCTGAGACAACAAAAAAGTGCTGTATAGTTCTTTGTTGTAGTCTTTACAACAGCTATTATCATTGGACCCCATTTGGAGTTAGGTCTTGGGTAATTTCTGTAATTAAATATTAAGCTTACTTTTGGAAAAACTTCTCTGACTTCAAGTGTAAGGTTTTCTTTCTTGTTTTAGCATGAAAAATATTTAAAAAACTAAGTGTAACTAAGGAGTTTGGAGCCTTAGCACATCATTTCTACAAATCACTGTAACAGAGGTTATTTATCTCTAGTCTTTCTTTGTGTTCATTCAGTTTGTTCTGATAGATAAATGCACGTTAGCAGTTCTGCCTTTTCCCCCTTCCAAGAAATTTTTCTTTATTTCATCTTCTTTCTTTTACAGTTATTTTCAATAACCAATATCTGGTTTTTCCTCTCCTGTTTTGTAACGTGATTTGATTTCTTGTCTTTTGAGCTTGCACATTTTCAGGCCGTTGTGTGTCCCTGGTATAGCATTGCTCCTGCTTGCAGTGACGAAAAAATGGGTGCTTGTGTTCACCGCCAGGCTGGCTTCTATGTGAAGTTCTCAAAGGGTTTTGATGACTCTTCACAGCACTGAGGACTTCACTGTCCTCAGTGTAAGAAAGAAGTGTAGTGGACAGGGGAAGGTCATAGGAGTTTCTGATGTGCACCACTCCCCCTCCTCTCCCCCCAAAATCTTATTTCTTTAAATAACAGCCTGATTGTGAAAGTGATCCTTTAATCCCAGGGTTAAGAAGTAACATTAATGAAGGCCCTAGGAGGTGGCAGAAGATGGTTGAAGCACAGTAAAGGCAGGATTGCTCGGTTAAAATAAAAGCTGGGTGCTAGGTCAAGCCAAGCTTTGAAGACTATGTGGTGCCACTGTTGTGTAGCAATGAGAACGTTCCTCCAGTTTTTAGCTGTTAGAGGACCACTTCACCACCACCTGTGAGACTTCCCATGTTATAACTATCCCATTAGCTGAATAGGTCTGAAACACGTCTTGTGTAGGTAAGAAATACAGATTACGTGGGAGTATCTCGATGTTGTGCATGGATAACTTGATGACTCTTTTAGACTTTTATAATAAAATATGAAATAACACTTGCTTGTTTTCTCTGAAATATCTTCATGTATTCTCGCTTCAGTGGTACCTTGATTTGCCTGCAGAAAGCAGTGTGGCAGCCTAGGACTGCAGTTATGGTGTCATTTGATTTCTTTTACTTCTTTTAAAACTACTTTTATATTCGAAAGATGAAAATAGCCCATAGGCAAAAGTAAATAAATAAACCAGGAGCTGCAAGTATTTTTTTCAAGTATGATGCTCTAGAAGGCTGTGAGAAGCATTTTTTTGTGTCTGTGTAATCTTGTTCTGTGTCTTTTTTTTATTGTGAGGAATGATTGAGGAACATCTGAAAAGAAATTTATGAGGGTATTTTTTTTCTGACACTTTGGTCCTGTTTTTCATAATTTTTTCACTACCAATTCTTGTCCTTCCTTTGTCCCTACTTAAATCAGAATTAGTAGACATATATGTATTTGAAAGATGCATTTTTCATGAAAGATGCTAGATTTCTAAAATTAATTTTGAGAGTTAAATTGGAAATGGTCAACTAATATTTTCACTTCAATTTAAAAATTATTTATTTCTAACTTACATAAAATATGCTTTCTCTTTTTGCAGAGACGTGGAGCAATTTCCTATGACAGCTCGGATCAGACTGCGTTGTACATTCGTATGCTAGGTAAGCATACCAGTTTCTGTATTGCAAAGTTCTAACATTTATGATTGATTTAAATAATAACTTTTTAAATATTTGTGTTGAATTCATAAATATTATCATTCTCTTTCTCCTGGATAACATTTTGGTTAGATTCTTTAGAGGAGTTTGGGTTCTTTTGTGTTGACTTGGGTTTTTTGGTTGTTGGATTTTTTTTTTTCTTTTTTCCTGAGTTAATTATTGTGTTGGATGTCTTACTGCTATACTAAAAAAAAAACACAACCCACAAAACGAACAAAACCAAAGAAAAGTTCTTGTAATTAACCTAAAGTGCTTGGTAGAAGTTAAGTTTTCGAAGTGACTCATGAATGACCTTTATTTCTGTGATGAATTTACCACCTCTGCATGGTATCCTTCTGGTTAAAACTGTAGCTTAGGGAACATTTGTGTGAGAGTTACCACGCACTCTTAAAAACTTCAGTATGGAGGATATGAAATGCTCAAGGTGTTTTTAAAACAATGATATGATTTTAAGCAATATTTTTCTCATTAATCCTAGGAGGTGATCAGAGAAGGAGAGGATGCATGACAGGGCCAGGAGTTCAGTCAACCTATGAATGTTTTCAGAGTAGGAACTAGAGAAAGACTAAAGCTGCATTCAAATGAAAGCACGCTACTGGGAGGGGAAGACAGCCAAGGGGAGACCCTCTGTGATACAGAAGGAGTTGAGGTCACTTGTTGAGAGGAGAAAGATGCAAAGCTCTCGCAGTTCTGGCTGCCAGATTCGGTACTTCCCGCACCTCTTCTGGAGGCTGCTGGTGGTGCAGATGGCGTGGGGACTGTGTATGTGCTCTAAGTCTGTTTCACTGCAAAATGATGCCACTTAATTTAAAGCCATCTTGAGCTATGATTTTGTGTAGAAATGGACTATGAATGTGTTTGCATGATGTCTCTCACAGCTCAATGAACAACAGCTAGTGATTACTAATTCTTAACCATCTCCAACTCAGTCAACCATAACGTGTCTTTTTATGCCCTGACTCTTTTCAGTTTGGTTGTATATTGTATGTGTTAAAGTCCCCAGAAATTCATAACTGCGTTGTCTATGAATTTAGAGTTGTAAGCTATATACATGTGTACACATGTGTGTATATTAATTCATAGTCTTAACTTACGTATGTGGGCATATGCCTGCATATTTACATAAAAATCCAATTTTGACTTAGCATCTTCACATTTTTATTTTTCAATTATTTTGGGTTTTTTATATTTGTGAGGTTGTTAATACTACAGCAGTGACTGTCTACTGAAGGATTTTTGATCAGAGAATTTAATTACTTTGGAGATCTGTTAAGAGGAGGACAGAAGAAGCTGACTTCTGAATGTTTACTGAAAAAGCTGCTGGGGTTTTTTTGTTGTTGTTGTTGTAAGTAGTTTTATTTTGCTTTCAAAACTTAAAATGAAGTAGTTAGGCCCATCATTTCTGCAGAAGGATATGTGATAATGCTCAAGTAATTCTAGAGGAAAGCAAAGCATGACTTCCTGTAGTTCTTGGTATATACTCCTGAACTGAGGGAAAAATCTCATTTGTCTGGAAAATCTTTAACTATTCTCATAGGCAGAACTGGAAAATAATCAGAATATGATGTTAAGTAAATTAAATTTTCACTTGTTCTCTCATTGGAATTAATTATTACACTATGTGATTGGTGCTTGTTATGAATAGCATAAGTCTTGCTCGCTGGCATAACTCATTCGCGCTGTTCTAACTTGGGTGGGGGGAGGAGGGTACCAAAAAGCAAACAAAAAATTGCTCGCTGGATGTTTTAATCAGTATGATAAATTTGTAGTATTTTCTCACTTATTTGGGATCACTTGGTTCTCCCAAATGTTATGTACACTGTACTGTACAAGTTAGCAACTATTTACATATATTGTACTTTTGTAAGTGTAAATGGACTGTAAAAAAGACCAGCCTGAAAGCTGAACAGTTGGATGCATCGGTATGTAGAAACATTCATATCAGAGTAGATTCAAGAGTTAATATATTCCATTAGAATTTTTTGCAAGAAATGTGAAGCATTGCATTTCCTACAGTATTGTGATGAAGTTTTGTTTTTGTTTTATTTATCGTAGTACATTTTAGTGGAGTGAGCTGTAAGGAATCCTCAGCTGTAACTTAGTGGGAAGTTAGGCACAGTCATGAGAGGTTTTGCCTTTTATTTTCTTGGTTTTTATTCCATATAGAGTATACCTACTAGTAAAATGTACCTTGATAAGGTGTTTATTTTAGCAGACCAAAAATATAAAGCCAAGGGTATCTAGGATACCTCTCTCTTCCTCTGTTTAGCTGTGCTGGTTGTAAAGTTTCTTCATTTGATGTTTTTAAGCTGTTCCAATGGGAATCCAATGGAAATTAATTTACATCAAGTAAATTGGAATTCCTGTGGTATAGCAGTGTTGCCAGGTTCCACTTAAAAGATCAAATTTTAGGGCTACACAAAATAAACAACTAACTGTTAACTGTCTTCATCAGTGTGTCAATATAAACAAGCAGGGTTGACTGTAATGACTCATCTGTCATACCCTATTCCCAAAATATACACTAAGCCACTCCCGAGTGGCTTATTTACTATTTTAAGATATAGATACAGATGCAGCATTGTAGAATTTTTCTTTTAAGACCTTGGAAAGGCTAATACATCTGCATCACCTAAGCTACTACACCCCTCAGCTACTTTTCTCAGCAACTGTGAGGAATTCTCAAAATATCTTTTAAGTGCTTCTGTGTAATCTTGATACTTCCTTGATTTTTTTTCTCTTATTTGCTTTTCTGGTTTCTTTTTCTTGCTGTTTTCTATTGCTTGAAAGTTTTGCTGCTGTGCATGGAGTAGAAAGTGTGGGGCACTGACTGCTTGTATTGGTGAGTGTGCACCTCTCAACTAAAACTGGAGCATTTTACGCTCCTTTAGAGAGATTTTACTCTCCTTTAGAGACGTTGGAGGAAAGCTACTGTGTGATGCACGCTCTTCTCCTGTAGCAGTCATGTTGTATTCAGTTTGCTTTAATTCTGGCGTATTCAGCTGACCTATCATCTGTTTCTTCAACAAATTTAATAGGAACTTTACTCTGTGAAGCTAGTAATTCTGTCTGGAAATCCTGCTCTTCAGAACTTCATGGCTTTGACTTGGGTGCTTTACCTTGAGGTGGCTGTCGTAATTTCTGCTCCCAGCTGTCCTCCGTGATCTCTGAGGTTTCTGCCCCTGCTCCAAAGGCCTCAGCTCCCCAAGCAGCTGCTGCATTGTTACTGTGCCACACTGGAGCGTTAGGGTAGCACGAAGTATGTGCTGTGTAACCCTAACGCACAGGGATGTCAGCTGTGGCATTTCAGCTGCCTCGTAAGTATCAGAGCTGTCCTTGCCCTGTAAGCAGGAATCTGAGAGAGGGGCAGGAACTAAGCGATCTCTTTCAAGGTAAGTCTTGTTACAGCCCTGATTCCTTTTCTGTTTTCAGTTGTAGCTGCAAACCTCCCACTTAGATTCATTCTGCCATGATTTAGTCTTCAATTGAGTTTCTGCCTGTATGACCTTTGTCTTAAAAATGCAAGCAATCCTGATCATGTAGAGCTATTCTGGAAAAAAATGTAGCTGAATACTCAGCCATCAGATATTTTGTCATTTTTGTGCACAAAATCAGGTTTTGAAAGGAAGGCTTCACACTTTTAAATCTTCTTGATTCTTTGGAATCACAGAAACTCTCAAAGAGGGAAAAAAATTGTTCCTGGAAGTCCACTGTCATTAAGATGCTGGACTTGAATGTGTTCCCTTAAGGTAACAGAGGAGTCTTTTCAGAGTGGCTAAAAGTGGCCAAAGAAGGGACACTTAAGATAAAAGCTGTCAGTCAGGTTGCTATCACTTCTGTGCTCCCCCCAAGGAAATACACCTGTGAGCAGACTGTGTGATCTCGTTGTTTAAAAAGATTTTGTAACCGTTTTGATACACTTGTAAAGGTCTAAATAAATGAAAATTATTCAAAAGTTCTTTTGGTTTAGGTGTTGAATTTAAACTGTCTTTCAACTACCGTAATAATGATTGACTCTGAGGCTGGACATCTGTTGCTGTTTGTAGGAATTATGTAACAGTGTCCTTTTGTCTGATAAATTCGAGATGTCTTGTGCCTTTTCTTAAAGTTACCTATGAAGATAAACATGTCTCTTCCTTAAAATTAAATTCTGCATAATTTGAATGACAGGGTTACAAAACACTTGCACGGGATTTCCCAAGCAAATCGATGCAAATACATTATGTTGTGTGAAAGCACAAGGATTTGGGGTCTGTTAATCTTTGCAGTTTACAGTAACTGAACAGTGAATGCATAATGACGTCCAGTATTCCTGGATGTTTTGGGACTAACTATACCTATGCAGTAGAGATCAGTTTCACTGTGCTAGTGGCACATAATTTCATGACATGGAGCCAGTTAGATGCTATTCTTTTTTCTGCTTCCATATACTTAGAAACTTCAGATGGAAAAATGCTATCATCAAAATCCGCTTGTACCAGTATTTTTCAAGCACATTTGTTGTCTGAAATCTTCAAAAATGCAGCAGTCCTGCACAATGGTAATGGAGACTGCTTTTCTGCCTTTGTTTTGGCGCAATAGAATTTTCTACTTTGCTTGCTGTAATACATTCCAGTCCTGTAGAAGTGATATATTTTTCCAGAATAAATACAATTGTATTCTAAATAACTAATCCATTGTTGAAATCTTTATTTTTTAAAAAATATCCTCTTCTATCATGATTAAGGAGAGAGAATTTATTTAATAACTATTTAATGAAAATATTTTGCTTTCCTTGCTGGAATTTCTCATTCCTTATGTAGGCAACTAAATACACTCATTTTAGCTGTATCTTATTACGGTTGCCTTTTTGTTACTTCGTGATGTGCATTTATAATATATAATTTCTTCTTTTGGCTAAATATTCCTGTAAATAGATGTTCTAGTAATTCCTGTTAAAAGCAATGTAGTTAGTTGCACTTCTGCATTTCACTTGTAGACAGTTTTTCATGTTTTCCTACTCAAAATCCTCAACACTGCAGGCATTTCAAGGGTAACAGGGATACTTATTCTGTCCATACTGTTAGGCAAGGTACTAGTAAATAAAAAAGAACAAAGCACAGAGAAATTTTCTGGACATCATTTATCAGGTGAATCTGCTTGGTTTTTTTGTTTGCAGAATTCCGTGTTGGTCTTCAGGTATTTTTCTGTGAACTTTTCCTATTCTTGATACTTAAAACAAGTAAATTGTTTGCCAAAACCTAGTTGTACATTGACTGAAACTATTTGTTGATTTATGTTGTGGTTTGTAAATTTTGAAAGTAAAGAACTGCCTTGAAAACTAAATATAATTCACAAAATCTATATCACATTTTCTGTAAAAAATTAGCTCAACTAAAAAAGTCTTTTTTCTTTTAATTCAGCTGGTGAGCTCATTCACGCAGCTGTAGCTATGCCTGATTACCCAGATAAATATGAGTGAAAGGTAATGGAAGTTGAATTTGCCTCCGTGTAAACTATGTTCATACGCAGCTACTAATGCATTCGCTTCCTCTCTTCCAAAGTTTCCTCTCTTTTTCCTTTTCATTAATTTATTTTGTAAATAAAATTCACCAGTTGCTTTTGCCTAACAGAAGACTTCTACAATCTGCTGCCTCTGTATTGCCGGGAAGGAGACAAGTCTCTTGCACTCTGTTCAAATGAATGCTTGAAGCATTTTTAAGTAATATATTGTCAGGTTACTTTCCCTTGCAGCTCATTTAAGGTTTTCAGTTTCAAAAAATAAAAGGGCTAATTACTGAAAGGCACATGTATTTAGTATGTTTTTACTGTTATATAAATTTTACACCCAGTATTTGGGGAGCCCTGGACCTACTTACCTTTTTGTAGTCCTTCCAGCCTGGTTCACAAGATAACATTCATGTCAAGTGTATCACTATAGGTATGTCAGTGTTTATAGATATGTATCTCTACAAAGATGCCTGTTGAGCATTAAAAGCTTAAGTCAGTATCTTCAGCTATTTTCTGACAAGTTGCTTGCTTCAGCATTACAGATTAGCCGGTTGGAAAAGAAAAGAAGGGAAAAATACTTTCAAGGTGTCTATTACTTGCTGGAAATTAAATAGCTAGATTTTTATTTTGTTTTTATAAACTCAGTCATAGTTGCTTTTGTTAATTACTTATTTTGGATTCATATAAAAAGCGCTGTGTTTGAAGTGAGGAGAATACTACACTTGAAGGATTTTCATAATTAGAAACCAGAACATTTGCACATCTTCAATTTAACTTTTTGTTAGGATTTGAGGAGGGAAACACTATTGCATTTGATCCTCAAAGATTTGTCCAAATTTGTAATTGCAAAAGGATTTTAAGTGAAAGCTTTTAATCGAAGTGAACTACTTATATTAATGCATACAAGTACCTAATGAAAGAATACTGATCAGCTTTCAGTTGGTAAAATGGATAAGTAGAAATCAACTAGCATGCTAAAAGATTCAGGTTGAAGCTAATTACAGTGCAAAATAGTTTGATAAAATTTTAATACTGAGTTTTGGTATTTTAATAGGCTCTTGTGTAATATTCAAACAGCTGAGCACAAGTAAGTAAATGCTAGTGGGAAAATATTCTATTATGTAAAATAAAACCATATTTTAACTAGCTTATTTGCTAAAAGCTACCATTTCTAGAAGTTGAATCTTTTTTGTATTTTATAAAATGTTATCGTTTTATGTGTGTTACTGAGGAACAAATCAACTTTTAAATGTTTGTGTTTTCTGTCATATTAAGGTGCATTTTTACCATACTGGTGTAGCAAGCTCTTCCTAATTTCATCTGAATGCTTATCACATGCTTCTGGCAACGTATGCTTAGGCAGGAGAGATTTTGACAAGAAAGCATGTGATTGCATGTTTAACAAGTCTTCAAACTTTGTTTTGAATTCCACCTTTAAAACAAAAAGCATTGAAGTAGGCCTATTGTTTGAATTACTCTCCTCCATTAAGTACATGAATCTTTACCCCTCCAGGCTATGTTCATTTGCATTTTATCTCTGCCACTCTTCCACACTTTTATTTCACTCTTGACCCTGTTTCTAGGAGATGTGCGAGTAAGAAGTCGGGCAGGATTTGAAACAGAGAGAAGAGGTTCTCATCCATACATTGATTTCCGTATTTTTCACTGTAAGTATTTAAAAGCAGATAAATGACAAATACACAAAGGCTTCCATCAATTTTAACTACTGAGCCTCTAAAAGATAGCAGCTTTTATAGCAAGACCATTTTTTATACTTAGGAAAATCCTTCATGCCAGCTCATTACCAAAAATAGAAGAGGACAATCCTCACTGCTAAATTTTTGTTTCTAAAAATTTAGTTTAAACTCATTGAATTTAAACCTGAATCCCTGTGGAAATGAAGACTGTCTTATATCCAGCTACTGGTGTGTGTGCTCACTTGACAGACACAATCAGTTGAGGGGAATAATTTCCTGCTTTTATGCAGCAGCAGAAAGGCCCTGTCTAGGATGGTGCTTGAATAGACTTACAGTAGATATCAATGTGCTTTGACCTCATCATAATCAATTAACATTACGTCTACTCAAACATGTAGCTAGGGCTTAAATTTTTGGACAAATATAAATCTTAAAGTGTTACAGGAAAACAGCAGACTAAATTTTTTTGATTATGTGTTTTAGGAATCATTTTTTCTCAGAAGTGTTGCAAGAATAATATTTTTGTAGAGGAAAAAGTTAAATTATCTATCTGTGTTGTTATAACTAAATTTGTCAGTAGTTGTTGTAACATGAAGTTTCAATAACCACCAAACCAATATGCAGGGAAAGTGCAGAGGATTTAAGCCTTAATTAAATTATGTCAATATTGAATGTATTAAGTGTCATAAAGTATCTATACCAACACTGAATCAGCACAGTTCCAGGTATTCTGAATACAATGGAGAGATTTAGAAAAGCTGATTTCATGATAACAAGTGTGGTTGTTGTAATTACCTTGTTAATAAAACTGAGTGGCAGAAACCGGTCTTATGCTCTGATTGTAACTGAAGTTACTCTTTTAAAAAAGTAGATCACATTTAAAACTCTTAAACTCTTAGTTTCATTCAAAAGTTTCATAACAATAGGTGAGAAAACAAAGTTTGAAGAGTGTGCTATATTGATTTTTCCAACAAAGAGGATAAGAATTTCATCTGAAGTCCTGATTGAGTATAATAAATTCTCTAGAAATAGCATGCAATTTATGAAGTTCATAACTATGTCTTTTTGTGTATGTATATATATGTGGCATTTCATGCTGATAGGGGAAAATACTAACAGAGTAGTAAAAGAACTACCAGTTAAAAGGCAGTCAATGTATGATATTATTGCTGTTGTCAAATTAACTATTTTCTGTGGTCCTCATCACACTTTTCTTTCCATCCTGATGACTGTGCATCAGGCAGATCATGACTAATCAGGAAGAGGATTTTCACACCCTTTCTTCTTGCCCCTACTTGTTCAGGCATAGGCACCAGCTTTTAGCAACATCACCTGTGGTGTCTGATGACAGCAAAGAATGTTGCTAGGAGGCCCAAAAAATTCTTTGGCTATAGCTTCCCTCTCAAGTCAACTGCTGTGGCAGTTTTCAGAGTTGCCATATTATAGTCATATTTTTTGCACTTCAGGACTGTAGCCTGTTGCAGGGTTGCTCTTCGACTTCAGGCTCCTGCTGTATTGTGGAGTTTCTTTCAAAGTCAGTAAGGAATTCAGAGCCATCTCTCACCATATCACTAGATTATCTATTAATTAATGTAATTGTGGGATTTTATTAATCAGTAAAATATTTTCTTTTTCTCTGCAATGCTAATTGAGTCCTGATCAATGTTTCCTTAATTGTTTTAAGCAGAAGAGATTTAGTATGATACTATGAGACTGCAAGTAGAGAGAAGTTCTGGAATCAGACTTGACCTGATTTTTAGGGTATTGTCCCTGCCCTCTCCTGGTAACTCCAGAAGGATTTGATTTTGCCACATTGAGCTGCATGACCGAAAAATGTTCACCCTTACAAGCAATAGCATGTGAGAGGAGCCAGCCAGCTCTTCTTTCCTTGAGGCAAAGACTGAACTGAAAAGGGTCTCTTCTGGAGCCAAAGCAAACTAAACCATCTGAATGCTCGCTTTTTTTTTTCCCCTCCCCACCACAGCTGTATCCTGAACATCAGTAATGCATGGATATGCTTCCTTCATCATGTTTGTATAGTTTCAGTGTAACTTTCTTCTACCATCCAGTAACTTTATTGTGTGGTACTAAATATTTTGCAAAGATCATGGCTTACCTGTTTTGCAGATGTTGTATATATACTGGCTGTCAGTCACAGTGTGGAAGCATTATTGCTGTTTTGTATTTTTCTTAGCTAATTTGTGTTGTTCGGCATTTTCTTTTTGTGTCTATGATATTTTTAGAAGAAGTTGAACATCTTTCAGGAGGTCCAGCTAATAATCTGCTGACCAGTTCTCTTTTCCTATATTTTATTGGTAGGCTCTTAACCCCGTATTTTATTAGTAGGTTTGAAGAGTACTGAATTTTAAATGCTTTATTCTGTTTTCAGGAAGATACTGTTGCGTGCATTTGTTTTAAATAGTCAATTCTGTTTCATTACACTATTTTAACTTGCAACTTCATCTAGTGTTGCTGAAGAAAATTTTTAGCACTTACTTATTAAGACTACTTCTGTATCTTCCTAAGCATTATAAGCTCAGCCTCTGTATCCTCATCCCATAGTTCTGTAATTGACACATGAATATGCAAGTTTTTAACTTGACTAGAAGTATTCTCAATGGTAACCCTTTTCTAGGAAATTCAATTTGAGGAAAGATTGTTGAAAAAATATCTTTATTGTTATTGTTAGAGATGGTGGTATGGGAGTCATCTGAGAATTCTTTAATTCAGGATTTGACTGGTGAGCAACCTAAGTTTGTTGGGTGGTAATTTTCCTTCTATGTTATGTGTTGTTCGAGAAGTCACCTTTTTATAGGTAATTGCAGGAACTAGCCAGGAGGAGTAGCTTAATTAACAAATTTTTGTTTGAATAAGACTGCTTCCTGATGAGTGGGGAAAGATAGGACTGTATTCCTCGGTTGGTTTGCAGTTGGTTAATGTTGAATCATCAATTAGTAGCTTTTCCGTTACTGTGGTCTGTTGATTATGCCTGTGTAGGACCATAGGCATAAACTCAGAAAGCAGCTCAAAGCCACTGTTTCTGGAAAGGAGAGAGCAGGCACACAACTTTCTTCCTCTGAAGTAGATTTTGGCCTTAAATATAATGGTTGTTCAGTGGATGTATGTAAATCACACTTGCACATTAAAATGCCTGCACTGTAACGTTTGATTGACTTGACTGTGGAACTTTTAACTCCATGTGTAACAAGGAGGAAGTTTTGCAATTCACTGTGACAATGCAGCATGTACTGTTTGGTTTTCAGGGAAGTTATTGAAAAAGTGATTTCAGCGGTGTTAACCACTCTTCCTGTCTGCTGGTTTACAGATAGGCTACAGTTAACATGATTACTTAAAATTTTTTTTTCACATTACTTGAGACATCACAGACAATAATTCAATCTGCAACGTTGGCAGAATATGTTGATAAAAGCTAATGCAAAACAGAATCTTTGGTAGAAGAATTGGTAAGTGACAGTATAAAAATATTCCCTTTTTCAAAAATAGTAAACCAGCAATAAATTTTTAGGTTTTGTTTTCTTGCTATTAAGAGGTTGTCAGTAATGTCTATTTTTTTTATATACATGTGTCTGTGTATATATATACACACACTTACAAATACACTTAAGTAACTTTGAATATGTTTGTGAGGAGTTTCTAGCATGCACAAACAGGAGTATATAATGTGCCCCAATCACTCCCTATTTCACCTGAAAAAAAAATGTCAAGCAGTGCTCCTTTGTGTATACAGTATGTTATACTGAGGAAGTGAAACCAAAAGGAATAAAGCTCAAGTGAATAATTAAGATAACAGAAAAAAATATTGGGAAGTGCCTTATGCAGATACAACCTAAATTAATGCTTTTAAGCTTCCTTTTTTAGGAAAGGATTGTTGGATATAGTCAGAAGAAATACATAAAAACCCTAATATTTCTGGGTTTGTGGAAAGGAAACATTTTTTTCTTTGTGCTTTTCCTGTTTTGCCTGACCCTAAATAAGTAAGACCTTGTCAAAAGGTTTTTAGAATTCTCTTGGGCCACTCTCTTCTGAGCATACTTCTGTGGGGAGATAGTGATGTTGCCAACACATGGGGCTCTATTTTGTGTTTTCTAGATAAGGGAATATGACACATATGTGAGTTAAAATATCTTGGAAAGAAGAAAGGGGTTTTTGAGTTATTCAGTAGGTGTCTGTATGCCTCAGTTTTGAAGCAGATAGATGTTAGCATATGGTATAGTGCTTCACAAAGGAGAGAAAATAACGTGATTTGAGCTTAAGACTTCATTGAGACTTAGACAGTTCTTCTCTTCAGTTGTATATGAAGCCTTTTTAATGGGAAAAGAAAGGGAGACTATTATAGGTAATGGATAAATCTAGTTCTCTTTCTTGAGAAGGCAAACACTGGAAGAAATTCATGAGTTTATTATACAACCTTCAGACAGTTTACTTGTAAATCATAGTTCATGTAACATATTATATGCTACTCTGAGATCTGACAAAGATGTCAGCATCTACTGTTTGCCATGGTGTTTTTAACTTTTCAGTTTTTTGCTCACAAACTGTTGGAAAAGGTTTATCTTACACAGTGAATTTAGATTCCCCTTGGTTGAGAGGCCAGAAGTCAAAGAAGAGAGAGGAGTGCAAATCCAAATTGATTGCTTTAAACAATTTGTAAAATCCTTGTGTAACAGCAGCCAGTCCTGCTTTTGATATCATCTAGAGATTGAGATAAAATGAGCCTGGTCCAGGTGAATTTGAATGCCCTTTTTAGTTTTAAGAAAACAGAGGAATTACCAAGCTGAATATGGTTAAAAGTAATTGTCTTGTTCAACAGTCTGCTGTGAAGGGTGAGTTTCACAATGAGTAAAGTCATGCGAGAAGATTTCCGTGTGGACATAGGTTGAATGAATTTGTTTCCCTATGAAGAAACCAGCACTGAGAAGTAAAAAGCTTGTACTCAAGAGACTTCTCCA